GCCCCCCTGGCAACCACAAGTCGGTATTCTCTGTCTATGAGTCTATTTCTGTCCTGTATTTACGCTTTGTTTTTGTTTGTTTTTGTTTTTGTTTTTTAGATTCCACATATGAGCGATCTCATATGGTATTTTTCTTTCTCTTTCTGGCTTACTTCACTTAGAATGACATTCTCCAGGAGCATCCATGTTGCTGCAAATGGCATTATGTTGTCGGTTTTTATGGCTGAGTAGATTTTTTTTCCTAAAAAGGAAAAAAGTAAGGTGCTTATCCTAAATGGATAAACATTTTTCGGCTGGCTATATAAAATTTTATAAATAAAATGGACATTTATGGATTAAAATACAAGGTTTTGATACTATGTAAGGTTAAAAAGGCCAAAGGGACCCCCCCCTACTGGTCCCCAACATTAAAATTCAAACAAGTCTGCTCTATTTATCCCAGTTTAAAGTAAATTTTTTTTCCAGCCCTGTAAATATATATGTACACTAAGATACTTGGTCAACAATTAGGGCAACAGTTATACCAAATAATCAAATTTAAAGATTGACAAGGGCCTAAAGTCCTTTGGCTCAAACTCCTCTGGGGATCCCAGTGACATTTAGATAAAATTAGATAAAGTGGACAAGAGATTTAAAAAAAAAAAAGGACTCCTAAAAATAAGATGTTGATTAAACCCAATAAAAACTAAAATTAAAGGTATAAGAGTTGATAGAATTGATAGACGTTTATAAAATTGATACATTTAAATCAGCTTTATATAAAGCTGTTTTGCTTAATTATGTTGTGGGATAGATATGTTTCAATGGGGAATGCTTCCTCTTCTTGATATTTTAAAACAGGGCACATAAATGTGCCCCTCAGAAAATATTAATTAAACATACTAAAGGAAACTAATAGGGTTACTTAAGACTTACAATATAAAGTAAAACTAAAAACTAATATTCAGGGGCTAAGAAGAATAATAGTAGAGATTTACTCTGAATTTAACTTGTAAGTGAAGAAAGAGAGCCCTTGTTAAATGCCTTCTGCAAGCCTTTGAAGATGTAATAAACCCTTAGAATAAAATTCACTGATACAGAAATCTCACTGATACAGAAAAACAAATTAAGGAGATACAGTTGGACTTAGGTGACAGATCAGTTCTTCGGGGAACTAAAAGCAACTATGTTTGTCTTACAAATCAGAAATGTAAATACAACAATGACCTGAGACTGAGCCTAATTAGCTCAATGAGGTAAAACTTGAAACCGAAAAAATATTTGGTATTTTAAAACTCAAAACTCTAACAAGTCTTTCAGACTTTATCAAATAAAAATACAAACCTTAGAAGTCTTTTCCATAAATAGTAAGCCTTAGTGATGTAGACTAAAATAACCTCACACAACATGAGAGTTGTGGGTTAAGCTTTATTTGGGGGCAAAATGAGGACTATAGCCCAGGAGACAGCATCCCAGAAAGCTCTGGGAAAGTGTTCCAAGGAGGCTGGGGAGACCTCAGTATTGTATGTGATTTCAGTGAAGGGGGGTTGTATGTGCAGTCAAGCACACACTTAGGCAGAGGCTTACTGTTGGTCATGAGAAGCAGTTGTCACCTTTGATGAGTTTAGTGTTTTTCTAGATAGGAGGAAAGACGAGAATTGGGGCTCATAAAACCTCTTTTAGAAAATTTAGAAAATATCTAACTATTTGAAGGCCTGTTCAGCCAGTTTTCCCAGAACACAGAGTGCCTCATTCCTGACCTCCATCCTGAACTCCTTACAGAAGGGTGTGTTGGAGGTGAGTGTCTGCAGTGGCTCACAATTTAATCCAAACAGAGTTAGATGGCAAGTGCCAATTTTTAGTTAGCAGTGATTTGAGCAAGCAAATTCAATTTATTCCAACTGTAATTATAAGCAATAAACGTATATTGTAATACCTATGATTTGAAGTGAAGCTGAGATTTCTAGTCTTGTATGTTTATGTATGCAAATAGATATGAAATGTCTCTACTGCTAAAAAATATCAGAATTAAATTTATAAAAGAGCTCCATTTGATTGACTTAAAAGTAAGCACTTACAAATTAAATATTTCTAAAATAAAAACTAGCCAACTTGACTTTCAGGTTCATGTGAACTGGGAAATATTCAATATTAAGTGAATATCTGGTATTTAGTTTGTTTTGTAGCCCATGTCCAGGTTCTTGTCCAGAAGGAATTCAGAGACAAGATGCAGAGGTTAAGTAAAGTGAAGATTTATTAAGGGATGGATACTGCGCTCAATGGGAGAGGCTCAGGTAAGCAGCTGCCCTAAGTTTTTTGTTTGTTTTTTTTCCCCCCCGCAAGTTGGCTACATAGGGTGTAAAAAATGAATGGGCAGAATATTCATTGGGGAGGGAAGGGTTTGGGGTCATATTCCCTGCTTTTCATCCCAACTCCACCCTCCTAAAGGGAGGAGGGGTTTTGTCCTTAATTAGTCTGGATAGTAGGTGTTGTGGTATCAGTGCATGATGGGTACTTCTAATCTGCAAGGCTAATTTGATTGTAATGAGGGCATAATGAGCAATAGGTTACATTCTGACACTGGAAATTCTTCCCTTTTCTCACTTTTCTTTGTTGGTTTCCAGGCTGTTCATCACCCCAAAGGTGTGACCACTTACCAGCCTGGTTTTCTTCCTCTGCCCAGGGACCCCTGATGCTTACATGATGTATGATTTCCTGTTTGGCTGAATCCCTCCTTTCTGCCCAATTCCTGCCATTTGGCCTGTGTCCTCATTTCTCTGCTCATATCTAGCCATCTGCTTGCTCTAACATTTCCCCCTCAAGGATCCTTACCTTCTTTTAAGGTGAAAAGGGATGATGGTCAGCCTTCCGTAACTACTTCAAGCTGAACATGGATGTAGCCCCTCTCTGTGGGCCCAGATCTCCTTGCTGTCTCTCAGAGGTAGGGGTTGTTAGTGTCAGCAGGGATGGAGAGTGGGGAGTAGGAGGCAGAGGCCTTGTCCAGTGATGTTGATGGTCTTCTTCTTCAGGTGGGATTGGCTGGAATCCTTGCTGTATCATCATTTGAAGTTGGAGTTGTATTCTAGAGGATAGAAATTTTACTGGATAGTTAAAAATACAGGAGCCAAAGATAAAGATGAGAAATATGGTGGCTGTGTGGGGCCTGGAAATGGGAGAAGCCAGGTATATCCTGAAAACCATCACTTAAGAGTCTCAGTCCATTCCTGTTTTCCATGGTTGTCCCTCTGGAGCCAGGAAGCCTGTTCATAATTTTTTTTTAACATTGACTTCTACTTCTCCTGAGACATTAATGTATGTGCAGCATTTTTTGTTTATGACTGCACAAACCCCTCCTTCGCTTGCTAGGGGATAGCCTAGGGCTTGGTGATTGTCAAAGACCCCCCTGCCAGAGAATCAAGGGGCTTCTGTAAGAGTGTTAGAGTGTCTACAGTTTTGTGTGTGTGTGTGCGTGTGCGTTATCCAGGGAAGGGGTCAGGTCCCTCAAGGTTGTCTCATTGTAGGCAAATCCTCCGCAATGGGCAACTGTAGCTAACATCCCTATAATTCCCGCTAGTACCAGACCAAAGGCCCTTTTCTGTCTCACATGGGTCACATTGAGGATGGTTATTTGGGCTGGAGCCACAGTTCCCAAGATGCAGCCCTCATAGTGAAGTGTGTTGTCTGGATGTGAGAGAGCAATGGCTTTGGTCATTGCGAGGTAGCTATCTGAGGTCCCACATACCTGTAATAATCCAGGCAGCGCTGATAAAACTGTGTGATTGGTTTGGTTATACAGCTGGAGAAAAGTTTTGGGAGGTGGGAGACAGTTGCAGAGGGGTCCCATCTGTATTTTGGGTTTAGTTTCTGGTTTGGCGTATCCAGGAAGGGGTAGTTATGGAGGGCCATACTAAGGGGATGTCTGATATAATAGCCAGCGCAAGAAGTTCTGTTGGCATTAGTTTGTGAATTGTCATAGCACACGTGTGTGTTGTTAGGAATGCGGGGTGATGTGTAAATAGGCTGGCCCACTATATCACTCCAACTTATAGGCTTAAAGATATCCAGGGGCAGACTTAGGTTTCTGTTAGAGAGATCCTCAAGGACTGAAAAGGGGTCTGTGTGTCCCCTGTGTGTATCCTTGTAACAAGGGGTGCATCCTAGAGGCTGAGTACAGACAAGGGAGATTTTGGTGATATTTATAGCCTCAGAGTAGGGAGGTGTGATGTGGTAACAGAGCGGAGGGGGCCTCTCCCATGTAACAAAGAGAAACCTTGTCCAGAGTGATTAAAAGAAGATTGGTTAAAAGTCGAGAATACCATGCGGTTGTTGACTGGGTGGGCCTTGAAGGTGGTGCTTATGTCTCCTAGGGTGGTGGGTTGTGGGTGGCAAATCCAGCAGAGAGAGATTTTCTCCTTTAGCAATAATCCAAGAGTTACTGACTATTACATTATATTTCCATGCTAACTCCTGAGACCAAAGAGATTGGATGAATGAGACAAGAGCAGGTAAGGGTGGAGGTAGGGTCCCTACTATTCTTTGGGAGGAGAAAGGAAAAAGGAAAAAAAGAAAGGAAGAATAGAAGCTGTGGGGTGCCTTTTAGATTTGGGGCAGGTCTTATTAAAGCCAGTACAGGCAGAGAAGCTTCCTCTCAGGTGTGGCTGCGGTGTTAAAGCGGCTCTCGTATAAGATTGTGAGAGCGAGCCGGAGAACAGGAGGACGGTAAGTATCCACGTCCACCAGAGCATGTTGGGTGGGTGGGTGGACGAGGGTACCAGCAGGCACAAGGGGAAATAATGGTCCTCAGCCTGGGATCTGTGAAGTGCCTTTGTCCTTGAATAAGAGTTTCAGGTCTTGAAAGAGGCTCACTCGTCCACCTGGGCTCCTCTGGCCGTCCAAGGCCCTCTGTGTCCTGTGAGGACTCGGGGGCGGGGGGTTTAATCCTAGAAAGGTGCACCCAGTTAGCAATCCCCTGTAACTTTACTGCAGTGGGAGTGCTGAGAAGGAGCTGTTCAGGCCCCGTCCACTTGGGCAGTAGTTGGTCGGAGGCGGGTCCTTCTCTCCGTGGTTTTAGGAGGATGAAGACTCCTGGTTGAACCTGAATGGAACCTGTTTCCTGGCTGGGGCTCGGTAAAAACCTGATTTCCGTATTGTGTAATTGCCTTTTGGACCAGTCCCCGATTAACTAGGTATTTAACAAGCTCACTAGTTTCAGAGTCCACCAATATATCAGGATAAAAGGGTCCACCATAAACCACTTCAAAGGGGCTGAGCCTTAGCCCCGCTTTAGGTGCCGCCCTGATTCTCAGCAGGGCTATGGGTAAGAGCTTTGTCCATGGTTCTGATTCTTGACAAAGCTTAGCCAGGACTTTTTAAAGTTTGATTTGCCCTTTCTACTTTTCCTGATGATTGAGGCCTCCAGGCAGCATGGAGGTGGGAGCAAATGCCTAGGGCAGTAGAAATTCATTGTGTGAACCTAGCCATAAAAGAGGGGCCACTGTCACTTTGCAAGGACCATGGAAGTCCAAACTGAGGAATTATTTCTTTTAATATTATCTTTATGGCTTCTTGAGCTTTTTCCGTCCTTGTTGGAAAGGCTTCCACCCGTCCAGTGAAAGTGTCAATAAAAATCAGAAGATATTTATATCCCTGGGAGGATGGCATGTGGGTAAATCTATTTGCCAGTTCTCTCCTGGATAAGTTCTTCTCCTTTGGGCAGGCTGGAGGAGGGGTGGGGGCCTAAGTTTTCCCCCTGGGTCATTATAGTAACATACATTGCAAGTCTTCATGGTTTTTAAGATAGTCTGAGGAAGGCTTATGCCCAAGAAAACTGTTTCTACCAGGCTAGTAAAAGCATCCCTCTCCAAATGAGAGGAGGCATGGAGTGACTTTAAAATTGTAATGCCCTGGGCAGCATTATTGTTTGTTCCTTAATCCACCAGCCATCAGGGCCCTCTTGGTATCCCCTATTCCTAGCCCATTTTATTTCCTTGTCTGTACATTGAGGTGGCAAAAGTGGGCTGGGGGGTTGGTATATGGGGGAGCAAGGCAGCTTGAGTTGAAGGGGTTTTAAGAGCTGCCTTTCTTGCTGTTCTATCTGCCAGGTTATTTCCTCTTACTATATCTGAGTTTCCCTTTTGATATTCCTTGCAGTGGATCACTGCCACCTCCTTGGGGTCTTGTATTGTGTCTAGGAGCTCTAAGATCTCTTTGCAGTGTTGGACTAGGGAGACCCATGCAGTCAGGAGCCCCCTCTGTTTCCAGATGGCAGTATGAGCATGTAACACCAAAAATGCGTATTTAGAATCTGTATAGATATTGATCCTCTTGTCTTTTCCTAGTCTTAGAGCTTGAGCTAGGGCTATAAGCTCAGCTTTCTGTGCTGAGGTCTGAGGTGGCAGGGCATCCACCTCTATGACCCCA